ATATAATATATATAATATATATATATACAAAAAATCATTCATTTTCTTCAATATCGATTTCTTCTTCTTTTAGATTGATCTCATTCAAAATTTTTTCAAATTTTTTTTCGCTTTTTCTAATTTTTTATTTGAATTTAGTTTATGTGTTTTGGAGTTAGGAACCTTAATATAATATATTTCCAGAAGAAATGCCTTCATCAATAGAAATCAATTCTAATGCAAATCTAGGGCCTATTTCTCTTAAATCTTTTGATTGATAAATTTCAAATGATCTAAACCAAATTCTATTTTGTGCTTCACCTTCAGTAGTAAATGTAAAGATTCTATCAATAAAATTATCTGTAAATCTAGGTTATGGAACATTGAATAAGAGTGTAATTATTTCTTTAAGTAATTTATATTTAATGATTGTATTAAATCGCTAATCAAATTAAAGAAGTACTCTTCCTTTTTTTGAGAAATTTCCAGCCAACTAAAGATCTCTAATAGTAGTAACTAGAAATAAAAATATTAGAATTTACTATTAAGAACTGAGAATTAAACTGTAGGTCCTGATGGGTAAGATCCAAAAACTAATATAAGTTGATCTGAAATTGTATGGAATACAATAAAGGTATTACATTTATGATTTTCACAAAGTGAAGGAATAACTTAACTCAATTATTCATATTTGATTTTATTGGTCTAAAAAAATAATAAATGATTGGTACTTTTTTAGAATGTGGAAGTATGCTAAGAATGTCTAACATAAAATGTCTGTGTTGCAATTCTAAGTTTCTTGTAGGTACTATTAAGATATGATTTCTATAGAAGACTTTATGTTATTTTTCAGCCATAGGTATAATTCTGGATATATATTAAATAATTTTATTAATGGGTGATTAAATGTATGAATTAAGTGCAAAATGGACAGTATCAGAGAAATACAATGCTAGTTAGAATCTTGACTATAAAAAGACAATAGCAGATGTATGTTCATTCAGTACGATTGAAGAATTTGCATTTCTAATGAAGAATACTATTTATTCAAAATTATCAGATGTATTAAGTGAGCCTTTGAAATGCAAAATGTAAAGAGATGTTATAAATACAGCTTTAAATAATTCAATGATGAAAATGTAGATGTATAAATAGAGGCAATATAATATTTCAAGAATGACATTAAACCATGGTGGGAAGATGAAAATAATAAAAATGGTGGTGAGATCTAATTTGATATACCAACATAATTTTAAAATATATATGATAATTTATACTAAGATATTTTATATGAGGTGATTGGATAATCGACTGAGGATTTAAGACATGTAAATAAATAATACTATAATAGATAAATGGTATAAGAGTTGTGGATAAAATAAATGCTAAATAAGGGAATAGAATAAGAATTGAATTATGGTTAGATATTGATCCTAAAGATAAACATGAATCTATATAAAAATTAGATGCCTGGTTAGTAACCTTGATTTAGAAATATAACATTGATTAAACTCAACTAACTTAAGTTTCGCATAAAAAATGAATATTGTAGATTGAATAGTATCATAATATAAAAATTATTAAATGGGTTCTATAGTTTGTTCTAATAAAAATAAAACTCCTCCTGTTTACATCTACACAGATCCAGGTAATTTGATAACTATGAGTGAACCTTAATTAAACATTAAAGATAATAAGGATGAATATTTTGATGATGAAGAATTGTTAAAATATGAAAATACAAAATATAAATAGAGAGAAGTTTAAAATAAACCAATAAAGTAAAATTATGAGTTTAAATGTTAAGGTGGCAATCATTGAATCATTATTTAGGATAAGGATCATTTGGTTCTGTTGAATTAGGTAAAGATCTAGAGAGTGGATAATTTATTGCAGTCAAATAATTATCAATCAAAGGATACAATCCTAAATAAATTAAAGCAGTATAGAATTATATATTGTATATAAGAAAATAGATGCGTTTGAATTGGAAATTAAAGTGTTATCTAAATTGGAACATCCAAATATTGTTAAATATTTAGGAATGGAGTAAAATTAGACTCATATTAATTTGTTTTTAGAACATGTTTCAGGTGGGTCAATCAAATCTTTATTAGAAAGGTATGGACAATTTCCTGAGAATCTAGTATAATAATATACAAAATAAATTTTATGGGGAATAGAATATTTGCATAGCCATGGAATTATACATAGAGATATAAAGGGAGCAAATATTTTAGTAGATGCTAAAGGTATATGTAAATTAGCTGATTTTGGATCATGCAAATCATTATCAAAAGAGGATTGTAATACATTTACAGGAACTCCTAATTGGATGGCACCTGAGGTTATTGGTGGAAAAGGATATGGAAGATTTGCAGATATTTGGTCATTGGGTTGTACTGTGATTGAAATGATTACAGGTAAACCTCCTTGGTTTGATGAAGCTAAGAATCCATTTTAAATTATAATGGAAATTATGAAAGGTTAGCCTCCTTAATTACCATAAAATTTAAGTGAAATAGCCAAAGATTTCCTGTCTCATTGTTTATAGTAATTATTTATTATGAAAAGATATGATCCTAAGAAAAGATTGAATATTACAAAGTTATTGCAACATCCCTTTGTGCCTAAAAGTGGAAATTATTCCATTTCAATTGATTTAAGCAACATGTTTAAAACATTTCAAAGGTAGATAGCATAATGATAACAATCCTATTATATCATAAAATTATATTCTCTTTTTTTTTATGAAAAATCTAAAATAGAGTTATTTATATTTTAAATAATTATATATATTAATCTACCATTCATTTTAATGAATACAAATAATTTATGACATGCACTGCTAAATCTTCAGGTACTTCAAGTGGAGGCATATGACTTACATCTTAATGGACAACTAAGGTACATTTATTTTTTCCTATAAAATGAATATTAGTCTAAATGTATGTAGATTGTAATATACATAAGCATCTGATATTGGACAAATTTTATCTAGCAAACCATGATATAATAAGACAGGACCTTTAATTTTATTTACCTGATGTGTAATATCAAATTTCTATAATGCCCAAGCAACATCAATATAATTTGATTACTTAAATACATCTTTTAATAAATCAAGTAATTCAAGATCACTTGGATATCTACCACTATTAAACAAAGCTTTTTTAAAAACATGATAAAAATAATTGTAATCATTTTATTACATTTTCATAACATTATGTTTAATTTTGGAATGATCGATTACTTATTGTTTAGTTGAGCATTTAATTGATAATTATTTACCTTATTCATCTTCTAAATATAAATGATTTCCATGACAACCTGCACTAGCTACTAATATTAATTTATGATAGTATTCACTATAATCACTTGCTAATTGTAGACAGACTGCTCCTCCAAGAGACCATCCACATAATATGACTTTTTAAGATATTTCTTCTTTTTTAAATAATGATAATATTAAATTATGAATATCTGTAGTGAGATCTTTAACATCATCAATACTATTATTTGGTAATTATGAATATCCAAATCCTTTTTAGTCTAGATTAATAATTCTGATTAATTTATCTTGATCTCTTTTTTATATTTCTTGAATAAATTTATACCAATGTTATGAGGAAGTGATATTTCCATGAACTAGAATTAATGCATATTAATATGGATAAGAATGATGTTGATGAGTATCGGTATAATATAATAATTAATTAATATTCATTATTAATAAAAATGTTATTGAGGGGAAGAATTTTAGCTTATTTTGCAAAAGTGAAAGTAACAGAAACTCCAAAAATAAGAATAGGAGAGGCAATAAAATTAATAAAAGAGAAAGCCAAAGCAAAATTTGATGAGACAATAGATTTTTAATTAAGGTTGAATGTTGATCCAAAACATGGTGATTAAAATGTAAGAGGTACATGTATGTTACCAGGAGGATTAGGAAAGAATGTGTCAATAGCAGTATTGGCAAGTAATGAATTAAATGAAGTTGCATTAAGAGTACTATGATATAATTAAATAATAGGCAGGTGCAGATTTTGTAGGTTAAGAAGAGATATTGAAATCAATAAAAGATGGAACATATAAATTTGAAAAATTAATAACAACATAAGAAATGCTAGTTCATTTAAAACCTTATGCAAGATTATTAGGTACAAAAGGTTTAATGCCAAATCCAAAAGCTGGAACATTAGTATTACCTTAAGAACTTACATAAGCAATAAAAGGAGCAAAATCAGGTTCAATAGAATTTAGAGTGGATTCAGGTTCAAATTTAATGGTACCTGTTGGAAAGAAATCATTTGAAGATAAAGTGATATTAATGAATATCAAAGCATTTTCTCTAGCATTGAATCAAAAGAGACCTACATCTTTAAAAGGATAATTAATAGGAGAAGCAAGAATAAAAACAACTATGGGATAACCAGTAGAAGTAGATGTGTCATCATTTGATTAAAGAAATAAAGAAAATGATTTGAAAGATTTGGTTTATTGAAAAGTATATTATAATTATATAACATTTATATAAAGAAACAAAAGGTTATATGTACAATCATAAATGTTCAATAATATAATTTATCAAAAGTATAGGACTAATCAGAATAGCACAAATAATAGTGATTGGAGATAGAATGATTCCAGCCAAGAAGAATAATGAGAATATTCCAATTTAAGATTACTTTGAATATTTTTTCATATCAAAATTGGATATTCTTTTAAATATTTGATATGGACTAGATAAGATGAGGTATAATATAAAAAAGGGAAGTAAAATTAGTAACCCACTTGATAAGATTAATGTAAGGATTAGTTTTGGAATAATCATAATGATCCTAATTAACATAGGATTATTTAATGGTTTAATGTTTGTTACTTATCCTCCTGGAACTAATAATAATAAATATCATAAATGTACTAGCACATCCAAAGATGTTGAATATACCATAATGGGCAGATGAATATTTACCATGGCATATCCAACAAAATTCATATTTACATTTATAACATGTCATATGATTACAACCTCCTCTCTTCTCTATTGGAGCTTAACAATTAGGACAATTATTAACTTGTAATTCTTTTCTTACTTAAATATATTGTATGTCCATTGCTTATTCACAAGATATCTCTTAATGGTATTCATTACCACATTTGAAACATATTTACTGACCACAAAAACATACCAATTTATTATTACCTTTACCTATCACATACTTTTCACAATCCTTATTTCAATATTTTAATATATATACCACTCTAGGACACCATCTTACATTTTTATTCTAACTTATTAATTGACGACTATAGAATCTCTCATATTTCTCATATACATTTATAGATACTAATTCTTTTATCTAACCTTTCTAATATTCTTCACGACATTGTTATTAAGGACACTATATTATCATCACATTTCCTCTTATTATATTCTCTTTTAAATGAGCTCCTATACAACTCTTACAAAATTCATGCTGACATTATAAAATTTAATGCATTCTTCTAAATGATAGACAAATCTAACATTCCTTATACACTTTTGACATTAATTATAGATCACCATTTATTTCTAATGATTCAACATCATTTTATGAATCATTACGTCTAATCCTTCTTATTCCAAATCTTTTTATTATATTATATGTCTTTAACAATTTTTTAGATGCTTGCTTCTTCTCTTCACGTTATTCTTATCTTTTTTTAAAAAATTCAAATTTTATCTCTTCTTCTTATTCATCATGAATATCTAAATACACTGGATCATCTAAACTACTTTATTATTCCCCTTTGTTTTATTCACATTTTAAAGTATCACTTTATTATAATTTTGGCCCATGAATTTAAAATATTCTACTCTTATAAACTTCCAAATATAAATGTTAATATCTTGATTTTTATTGCTCAAATTAACAAAGTTATTCATTATGATTACTATTCATTTCAATATAAATTATTTTTTAAATCTCTCCTATTATTATTAGATATAAAAATAAATTAAATTAGCATGTTCTTCTATTGCAGATCCTATATTCCCAAATATAGTGCTAGTCAAGTCATTAAGAATGCCATATAAAGAAGAAAAGGTAAATATTTGTTATGAAATAGAACGCAAAAATGTGATGTAAGAGCATTTAGAGAGATTGGCTAATAAATTGGAATATAAAGTGTATCCATATCACATAACTCACTATGATCCTGCTCATCCAGATTATATTCCAGCATAAAGACAAGATTACAAACAAAGATTAACAGTTGATACTCACAATATGCTAGTGGATGGAGTAAAAAGAGATGTTGCCATGTAAAAATAAGTGGATGAAGCAATAAAGAATTTGGATAGACCATATTTGAAAGGAAAGGCTGGAGTGACTAGAAATATAACTGGTGGTCTTAGAGATTACTTCCCAATAGATATTCCATATGCTTAAACAGGAAATCTTGAGAATGAAGAATTAGAATATGAAAATGTGTTTAGAAATGAGAAGAGATGGATAGCTTAAACAATAGCTCCAGTAGAGAGGACTGAGAGTGAAAAAAGACATGAAAAAGAATTAGAATCTAGACCTGTGACTTAAAAATTCCATCCAGATAAAGGATCTAAATATGATGTCGAAACACCTTATCATTTAAGATTCCCATATTTAGCTGATAGATTAGGACATCCAGAATTCTTGGCAAATCCTTTCTAAAGATTATTTAGATTAGAAAGTGATATGTATCATCCAAGTTATAATGATTAACCATTTGTATAACATCCATCAGGTGATCCTGATCCTACTTTAAATTTCGAAGAAGGAGAGGTTATCTATGAAAATACAAGATTATAAGAATGGTTAAAGTTTGTATGGTGGACTGGAACATTCAGTTTTGCATGGATATGTTGGGTGTTACCATATAACATTGTATATAAAACAAATCTTATGTTTGATCATTAAATTGATGCTTCATTCTATCCTTATCATTTATAATCTATATATAATATGGATTATATGAGAATCAATGTTTTAGCTGCTACTGCTGCATCAGCATATTTATGGTATTTCCATCATATGTCTATGAATGATATTGGAAAAAACTATGTTACAAGAGTTCAATATAATAAAGATAAGGAATTAATATTTGTTACTAGAATGGGATCATTCGGTGTAGTTAGAGAAGATGTCTTTGAAACACATCATCTCGAAGTCTTACCGTATTATACTAAATCTGGTGTTTAAAATATGAGATAAAATGTATCTATATATTATTATTATTCTTATTAGGATCTTGGAATGTATGAATTATCATGTTTAAATAAATAAGATTTGATGTATTTATATAAAGAAGATGCCTTCTGGAATCCTAAATTAAAAACATCATTCCTAACAAATCATACTCAATTGATTTCCAAATAATACTTTGGATTAAAGAGGTAATTTATTTATTCTTAATTTTCTATTTAGAAATGAAGAAGAAGAATATTAAAAGACCTTAACTGTAGGAGATTTACCCTTAAAAGATTTACCTGCTCCTTGAATTATCAATCATAAATACAATATAACAAAAATAATATATATTATTAATGAACGTTGATGTATAAAAAGGGAGAGAAAGACCTGTTAGAACCAACGGTTTAATTAATGGTCTAAATCCATACCAAATTATAAGTTGGATTTATACTCTTATTGATATTATAATTGCTTACATTTTAACATTTTCTTATCAAGAACCAATTCATGTAATTTTTATTTATTATTCAGGAACTATTGCTCATAATATTAACAATAATTGTTACTATCATAATTTTTAGTTGCCTCAAAGCTGCTATAATTGATCCGACAGATCCTATTGTCAAATAGGAATAATTATACAAATAATAAGGGTAGAAATATTTATTTAATGCTAAAGTAAAGAATTTAAAACTGATATTAAATCATTTTGTCTAGTTTGTTAAGGACATGTCTAAGAAAAAACTAAACATTGTTGGAGTTGTAATAAGTAATTTGAGTTTCTCCATTAGGTGTGTATCACTTTTTGATCATCATTGCATTTGGCTAAATAATTGTGTTGGAGATTAGAACTATTCATATTTCTTTATTTTAGTTATATCATTGGTGATGTTTAAAATATTCAAATTAGCATTGGATATAAATTTACTCTACTTAGAATACGATTTATAAATACTAGTGTATATTTGTATAGTAATAGATCCTCCTGTTTTGATAGTCTTAATATACTTATTGTCTATACATCTATATTTCAAGTTTATCATATATTTGATATTTTTAGTTACAAAAACATAACAACGTATGAATACATAAAATCAAAGTAGGATAAGAAACAATAAATTGGTTAATTGTAGCATCCATAATAAAAATCAAATCAAAATGAAAGTGGAACTGGTTATGGTTAGTTATTATCAACTTCAAAAAGATTTGATTTGAAATCATAATTATCTCTAAAAACTGCAGATTCTAAAACAAATAAATAGAACTATTTTTCAAATAAACAGGAAGATGATAAAAAGATACCTTAACAATCTCCGTCTTAACCTTAATTTACTTAAATTCCTAGTTTATTCACTTCAAAACCAACAACTCCTGGAAATGAGTAGGAGAAGAAATATCGTATATAATAAACAAATTAATAAATTCAGGCAAAAGATCTTGATGAAATTAAAGAGAAATAAATTTATAATTAAGTAATTGCTGAAGATTCTGAACCTCAAATGAATGAAAGTTCAGATGAGGATTAAAATCATAATTTTAGTTATAATAATAAGCATAAATGTCCAAAAAATAGCAATGTTTCTTAATTAGATTAAATAATAAATCAATCAATATCCTTAGAAATTGATCATTAAACAATTAAAGTTAATTAAGAAGAAGTTAATAAGGAAATAGAACATGATAATAAATCTATTGATCAAGATTTAGTTAATGTTTCAAATTAATAATCATTACATGCATAATAACCACCACCTCCTTAAAATTGTTATACATTTTAAATGGATTTGAATTCGGACTAATAGAAAATTATAATATCCCCTTCTAGTAAGAGAAATAGTTAACATTTAATTGCTGATAATTGTACTGAATGAATTTACACGCTTTTGTTAAATTTATAATTAATAAAATCATATAAAGTTGTTAGAACTTAACATCATAAATATATATATATATTAAATATAAGTTCTGGTTATTATAAATGAAAAGTTTAACAGAAAATGAGAAAATATTGAAAGTTATTAAAACTGTAAAGGATTTTACAGAAAATATGGATAAGAGGATATCGATACCTGTACTATTAACATTTGCAGGGATTGTTGGATACAATTTATTGAAAACCAAAGGAAAAATATAATAATCATAAAAATAAAATTAAGAATTACAAGGAGAGGAGAAAAAATCATAAAATTCAAATTATTCTGAAGAAAATGATACTATTGAGATTGAGGAAAATAAATAATTAGAAAAATAGTAATAACAATTAAAGTAAAGTGAACCTAAATCGAAGAAAAAGCAAATAATATAAAAAATAAATCAAAAAACAAAAAAATAATTTTATACAGATAATGAAATGCCTGCTCCTAAATTAATGATTGAGAAATAAATTTCTTAGAAATAAGAGAAACATGCAGATGATAAATTATTTTTCTAAATCTACTAAAAAATAAACTAAGAAGATTCTAATGAGGACTCTTGAAATGGTTTTATTATTAATTAATTATATTATAATATTATAAATGAAAATAACAATTATTAAGTCAAATGTTGATAAAATTTTGAGTTAAATAGAGAACAAGGAGGAAGTCATAAATATTACAGCAATAAAATGTAATTTAGACAATATACCAATATTGGATTTTCCAAATTTAAAAGTGTTAGATCTATCATATAATAATATCTCAACTCTTGATAATTTACCAAATACAATAGAATACTTGAATTTATAGCATAATTAATTTGAATACTTTGAAGATTTAGAATTTCCTGCATCATTAGTATATTTAAATTTTAATGGGAATAAAGCATCAACTAAAATTTAGTATAGAAGTAAACTAATAAAGCAAATAAAATAAAAATGTCCTTAATTTAAGTATTTGGATAATGTATCAATAAAAATGCGTTATGCAGAGATGCCTATAAGTTTAAGTAAATTTGATAAGATTATGGACTTTACTTATGAGATGTTTGGGGATGATTTTTGAAATTTATATAAAAGAGAATTAACTATAAATTTAGTTCTAATTTATTATTAATTAAAATGAATAAATAAGAAAGAGAAAATGTAAAGTAACGTATAGAGGAAAGAATATTTTAGATAAAATTAAAAAACACATAACATGTACATTGATATAGATGATTAATAAATAGGAAGTGGTGATTGGAAAGAATGCAAATTTTACAAAAATAATTGAATAAGAATATGCAACAAAATATTTGGAGAGTTTAGGAATAGAAGCAAATCAGAAGAATATTTAGATGATTTTAAAGAATTATCCATTAAATAGATGTGAAATAACAGGTGGTTGGAATAGTAAGATTGTAATATAATAGTAGCATCTGGATTATATGCTGATACAATTAATATTGTTGTAAGATAAAAGAAAAAGAATATAGAAATACCTTAAGGATAAAAGGATAAGGATGTATTGGATGAGGTATAGAAAGAATAAGATTTAAAGAAAATTACAATAAAGAAGAATGAATAAGAATAAGATTAATAATTAACATAATAATAATTAGCATTATAATAAAAAAATGAAGTTGAATAATAGAAGGAATTGTTAGAAAAGGAGGAAGAGAAGAAGATTAAATTTAAATTGGATTTTAATATAGAGGAGATAAAGAGAAAATATTTATTTCCTTTTAATTAGACATTCTAAAGAAAGCAGAATTAAAATATGGTAAATTAGGATAGATTAGAATTTCAATAAAATGATGAGACTCATTCAGAACATGATAAATTTTTAGTATTTGAAAGCAAGATATTTTAATTACCTTTTATTCATATTGAAATACCAGCACCATTATTAAAAGATGTATAAAGACCTCCAAATATGAAACCAGAGGATATTGAAAAAGTTTTGAAATAAATAGATAAATTATTTCCAAAAAGTATTTTCCCAATAAAAACAAATGTGGAGAAATAATAATAACAATAATAATAATAATAAAATAAAGAGAAAGCAAATGATGATGTAGAAACACGATATATAGTATTTGAGAAATAGTAGATTGAAAATGTATTTTAATAAATACAGAAAAATGAGATGGTAAAATTGATAGGATTATTTATACATTTATCATATTGGTTAGTATTTGGTGTAACATTACCAATATAAATATAAACATTAACAAAAAAATAAATGTATATATAGATGATGGAAATAATTGAATCATTTTAATCATTTTATGCTCCTAAATTATGGATGCATTTAGTAATGCCGATGATATTAGTATCATTGAAAATGGCAACAGAATATTTATATAAGAATCATTATATAATATTTTTTGAAAAACCAAGAACCGAAATAAATACCCCAGGTAATATAGCTATGGATAAGATATTTCATTTTGCTGATAGATTATTTGATTAGAATAATTTATTTTGTAGATTTATATTTTTAGAGAGTAGTAAATAAAAAAAGATAGGTAATGATGCAAAATTTATGCACAAAAGAATATTTGGAGTATCACCATATTTAGATATAATGATTTAGAACCCATAAAATAGTAGAACAAGAGCAATAATAGCTAAATAAAGAGACATTGATAGTATTTCTATTATATTATTATTATATTAGTAAGAGATAAAATATTAACAATAGGTGAAAAGAAATTGACATAAACAATGCCACCTATTTTGAGATAATAAAATACAAAAGAAGAAAAAGATAAAATTGAGATGGCTTAAAAAGCTAAAATGTTTAGTGTTGTATTAAGCAGAATGTAGTAAGATTTTGAAAAAGTGTTGAAAGAAAAAGAAGTTTTAAAATTAAAATAGATCTAATGCTGAAACTATTCAATATTCTATAATAATTTTTGATCTATATTTATATTATATATTATAGTATATTTAATATTGGAGTATATAAACAATCACATTATAGGTTGTCTTTCTTTTCTTATCCTTTTTTTTATATTAGATTATTCATTCTGTTTTTTTATTTCATTGAATAGATCTTCATCTTTTCCATTATCACAATGATCACAATTACAATCTACAGTACACTTTTTGCCTCTTATAAAACATTCACAATATTTTTTAACACATCTAGTTTTAGAACAATTACATCCCCATATTTCATTAGTTTCAAATATTTTTTCTTTTGGAATCTTCTTATTTCTATTTGCTTTTCTCTTTACATAATCCATAGCTTAATTTCTTTACATTTTAAATTCTTCTGTATTATTACATTCTTCACATTTACATTATTTTCCACAGTTTCTCCCATTATGAAAACAAGAACAATACATCTTCAAACAATGAGTCTTTTAACAACTACAAGGTTAGAATTCTTCTTATTTAATTTCTTATTTCTATTCTTGTACATTTTATTCTACTTTTGCACTTTCTTCATGAATATTATTTGTATCTGCTTAAACTATAGGTGATTATTCAGGAACTGCTTCAGCATCAATAAAGGAATTCCTATCATTAAATATTTCTTTTACCATTTTTAAAGTTAGACCGGAGAATGTCTTTAACGATCCCAATCACTTTAATTTGAACACATACTCCATAACTTTTTTAAAATAGGGGGTTTTAGATCTTCTATAAATTCAGAACTTTGCATTAATAGAAAATTGTAATATCGATAAATTATTAATAACAATATCCAGCTTTTTTCAATTAAATGGACAATAATCTATCGGCATTCATCATCTTATTTAAATTTAATTAACTTCTCAATGAATCACCTATCCCCTTCTTTAATTTTAATTATTTATATACAATAAATGAGTCATTTTGTTATTAATATATTAAACATAATATGACAATTCTTATTTTATTAAATACTTCAAAATTTATTAATAAAAATATCATTTAATTTAATATATCAAAAATGAATTAAGATATACTTTCTGACCAATATTAATCAAATTCTACTCAAAAGATGTCAGATTTACTTAACTTTATTCTTAATTCAAATAAAATATCAAATAAATTCCAAAGAATTCCCCCCAGATTATCAAACACAGAGTCTATAAACTAACCCAAAATTAAACCAAGATCTAGGATACACTCTCTCAATCATGAACCTAATGATTTTATTACTTCAAGAATTGAATTAATTTAAGACTCTAAGGATTATTATTAGAAAGCCTTCAATTAACAAACATTTTCAATAAAACATAAGAGAGAAAAGAATACAAATTCTATTGAAAAATACATTGAAGCTACTCCCTCAGTTCATTCTTATTAAAATGCAAAGGTAATTGAGACATGATAGGAAGTTTAATTTCCCCTCTATGTAAGAATAAATTGGATCAAAAAGAAATTATACTCTATAAAAGTATCTTGATGACAATTTAACAATATTTTACGATATCATTAAAAAGAAAGACTTTGAACAATTGATCAATTTTTTAAGTTATCCATTCCAATATTCTTAAGAATAAAATGTTATATTTTTAATCTTTATTTATAGCTTCTAGATACATTCTGTGGATTGTTATACTTTACTGCCTATTATTGTAATACTATTTTACAACTAAATAAAGCTACGTTTTTATTTAAAGATTGCTTAAAATTAACAGAGTTATGTAGAAATCATCAACTTAAAATTAAAATCTTAATTTAATTATTTTTAATTGCTAAATAGTAATATTAATAAAATATTTTATAGATTAAAATAATATGAAAAAGCTTATAAATTTATATTAAAAGCCCTTAGTTATGCATGGGCTGAAAATTTAGATGATTATGAAATAGATTGTTATGATAAATTAGGACTTTGTTATTTTTATTAAGGTAATATCAACAAAGCCAATTACTTTCATAATAAATGGGTTAAATGTGAAATCGAACCAAGAAATTCTTATTATAGAATAACATCTAAAGAATTTATTTTATTATATGAAAGATCTTAACTATTATGTAAATAATTTGATGATAAAATTGCCAGATATATTCACATCCCTTTTATAAATATTAAGACTGGTTTATTATTTGATTCTAATTCCACCCTAAAATATAACACTTGTGAAGCAATTCCTTTAATTAATGAAATACTTCTTGGACATGAATACACAGAATTCTTTATTGAATATCATTATGTTGATTCAGCAGAAAAATAACATTTGAAAAAATCATCATTACCTAGAAGAGCTCTTGAGATTATGTTTAAATATGACAAAAATCAAGATAAATATTTATTTGATCATAATTTACATGAAAACCCTATCTATAAGTTATCTCTTTAACAAAAAGTTAATCATCGCTAAGCTTAGTTCTTCTCACTTAATACAGTAGAATAAAATATCAAAAAATACATATCTGATTAAAGAGAACCTTTCAAAAAAATTTAAAAGATTTATGTTAAGGAATCACAGAGAAAAGACTTATCTCCTTAAAATGGAAATCAATTATCCTTACATTTTAAAAAACTTTTGGTAAGCATAATTGATTAAAATTGAAATTATTTAAATATATATGTTTGTAATCCTTGCTATTTATGATTTAATTAATTATGTAAGAATCAGAATTTCTTAAATATGAAAACAAACCTTTCCTTCCCTAACAATAATAAATTACACGTACTGTTCTATAATCATTAATCCATGAGTATCATATTCTCATCAAAGGACTAATCAGCCAGTAAATAACACTACTATATTTTAGAGAATATTAAGATTACTGTAATGTTAAAGGAGCTTGTGGTTAAACTATTCCTCTAATATTAATCTTACCTATCGTGCTTGCAATTGGTACATTTTAACTAACTTTGTTATTTTTTAAAAATCTGCAAGACGGTACATTTTTATATTATAGTAAATAAAAAGGTCCCGTTATACCTGCTTTGATTTAATTCCTATTGTTACAAGCCGCATAGACTTTTATTATGTACATGATCCTTAAAGCTTTTGAAGTTATTCCAAAAAAAATTGAAAATCCTTTGTTGTTTGGAAAGATAACCTCTTACATATTCTTATGTTTAAGCATTATTGAAGGAACTTTAATTATTGTATTTATAATTAAATTATTTTTTAATAGGAGAGAATTTCAAATTTCAATTAATTTTCACAATCTTATTTTTGGGCAATTTTCGGATTAATAATTTGGTAAAAAGTAAATATTGAATACAATTAATTAGATAATATAATTATTTATTTATGATTACAAACTTAGAATTGGAATAGTAATATTTCAATATATCTACTATGTTTTTAGGTTGAATAGTGAATTATTAATGAAAGTAACTTATTGGCTCTATTTTAGGATTTAATAAAAATAATAGCATATATATGTTTGGAGATTATTTATATCATAGATGCTGAATTAAAAAATTATTCTCAATATCAATTTGAAAATAATATGTAATTTAGAAACAATAAAGAAGAGGTTTAATTTATGATCCCATAAGTTCAAATGTAGACTCAATAATAGATTCTAGAAATTATTACTAATTAATTTCCTGTTATTATTTTTGATTAAACTAAAGAGTTACTACACATTTCAGGAGTAGGATTAAAATAATTATAAATGGAAGATGAATTTAATAAAGTGGATTTGATTTCTGCTGAAATTAAATTAAGAAAAATGGAAGTAATTAAATTTTTTTCAACAAATTCAACATAAAAAGGTAATTTGGTAAGATTATAAAAACTGGCTAAATTTGGATCTACTTGTGGAATTAATGAAAAAGGAGAATTGTTGCATTCTTTAATAAATGGACCAGCACTTTAATAATTAAGAATTTTAAGGTAACCTCAAGATAATTAAAGAATAATACACTATAATCCAGATGGAATTTTAGAATAGCTGCTAAATAATTTAATTAATAATCAGGAAACAGAGTTTAAAGGAATATCTAAATATAATCTACCTAAGAATTAATCCAAATATTTTTAATTCACCTTAATTAAAATATTAAAAGAGGAGCGTTTTTAACTATTTTTAATTCTAGAAGACGTAACATAAATTTATTAAGATATAAATTTGAACTAAAAAAATGAAGAAGATGACCTTCCAAATTTATGTTAAGAATTTAGAAAAAGTTTATTCTGTTAATAAAACTAATAGATTCCTCTTAGATTGCTCAATATTGAAATTAAGGATACTCTTAAATATTCCAAAACTTAATATTTACAAGAGGAGTAATTAAATATTGATAATTTGATTAATTAATTAGAAACTAAATTTCAGCATTAAATAAACCCTAATATAAAATTATAATTTTAAAATAACTTAAATGTTAATGGTGGAGAATTCAAAACAGATTAATTAAGGTTAATTTAAATGCTAGAAATACTTATGAGAAATAGCATTGATAATACAAATGAAGGATATATAAAAATAATAATTGAAGATGATAAAATAAAGAATTGTATCTAAATCTCTGTGGAAGATACTGGTATAGGAATAAATTAAGAGATTGTTGAAGAAAGATTCAATTCGAATTAAATTCAATCTCTACAAATAGTTAATTATTTAAGTAAATTATTGGGTCCTCTATTTTATTCTAAGAAAATTTCAGGTTAAATTGCAAATAAAGGTTTGAGAATTAAATCGTTATAAGATTGTGGAACGAATATATCATTTTCAATTAGAAATTTACATTTAGATGAATTCAATACTTAATTCATTATTGATGAAGAAGTAAATCAAGAAGAATTTGAAGAAGATGAAATTTAAGAAAAATACATAAGAGATGATGAAAAAATATAATATTTATAGAGATTAAACAAAGGACTTAGATCATTAATTATAAATAGGTAATAAATTTCAAAAATAACAAAAACTCTTGAAATCAATACTAGTAAGAAATAAACAAAATTAGTTGGTATGATGAAACTTTAGGAATTGGGAAGATTTAAAAATATTGAATAATAGAATGAATCTTGTCAATGTAATTACAAACTTATTATCAATTCTGATTAAGACTTTGAAAGAGTAATCAAACAACATGTATAAGAAAATGTTATATTTATAAATGAATAAGACTCTTTTAAACATATTAATTTAAAAATAAGGGAAAAGAAATGCTTTAACAATTCTTGTTAATTATATAAATAAATAATTATCAATTGTCACAAACCAAATTTTCATTATAGAGAGTAATAATATTCATAATCATTTTTAGTTTAATTATAAAAATTAATGGAGTCAGCAATAACTTCAAAATTATGTTATTGATATATAATTCAAATGGGGAAATGGATATGTTAGGTACGTACATTATGATGCCAATCAAATTAGATGTGATACTATAATATTTATAACAGTGATATATTCAAATTTCTTATTATTATTTTTTTTTAATTATATAAATATACTATAAATAACATGTATTGTGATCTCTATATGCTTAGTCATCGTATTTAGTTTAGATTTCCTTATGTACTATTTATAGGTAAAATGGCAAAAAATTCTGATAATTTATGATTATAACTTTTCTATCCAATTAGTTGTTTATATTCCAGAATTTTATTTTTTAATTTATTAAATTTGATAACAAAAATGAATTATTATAATGAATATTCATAAGATAATTTTGATCTACACAACAAAAACTATTCCCCTAAATAATTCAATTTAAATCCTAAACAAAATTAGTTTTCATTCGATGAGTAAGAAATCAATAATTTCAACACTGAGAGGTCAAACTTTCAAATTGAGTTAGAATCCCCGAGGTCAATAGATCCCTTCAATTTTGAAAGAACGACTAGAGAAAGGGCCTCTAATTTGATGTCAAAATTTATATTCCCACAGGAACCCCAAGAACAGCAAGCCCCGATAGAACCCTTGGTATAGCAAATCAAAAAGCAACCAATAAGATAGAAAATTCGTAAGTCCTCCTAAGTGAAAACTCTAGGTAAGAATTTCCCTAAACAAATGGGTAAATACTTGATGAAACATTTGAGAAACCAATGTCCATGTAAAATCCCAAAAGGAATTCAAGGATTATAAGAAAAAGCGGAGTTAATGAAGTAAAATGGTAAAAAGGAAGTGAGTTTTGCTATTTAAGACTACAAAGTTGCTGCTAGTTCAGATTTTTAGAGTTAAATATACTTGATGGATTTTGTAAAGAATAAATTACCTATTTACTTAATTAATAGTCGAATGATTGAAGATCCTACCAAACTTTATTAATTTATTCATAATACCTATGTTGGAATATGCAATCCAACAAAATGGTTAGGAAACTATCAAACCGAATCAAATGTGTGATTTATTAAGGCTGTTAAGATTATTAAATATCTTTAAATTTTTTTCTATCCCTTAAAATATTTAATTAATATTTACTATTTATTATATATAATTTATAAATAATTAATATATATATAAATATATAAATATTAATTGAGAAAATGAATTAATAAGATGAAGATCCTAANATACTATAAATAACATGTATTGTGATCTCTATATGCTTAGTCATCGTATTTAGTTTAGATTTCCTTATGTACTATTTATAGGTAAAATGGCAAAAAATTCTGATAATTTATGATTATAACTTTTCTATCCAATTAGTTGTTTATATTCCAGAATTTTATTTTTTAATTTATTAAATTTGATAACAAAAATGAATTATTATAATGAATATTCATAAGATAATTTTGATCTACACAACAAAAACTATTCCCCTAAATAATTCAATTTAAATCCTAAACAAAATTAGTTTTCATTCGATGAGTAAGAAATCAATAATTTCAACACTGAGAGGTCAAACTTTCAAATTGAGTTAGAATCCCCGAGGTCAATAGATCCCTTCAATTTTGAAAGAACGACTAGAGAAAGGGCCTCTAATTTGATGTCAAAATTTATATTCCCACAGGAACCCCAAGAACAGCAAGCCCCGATAGAACCCTTGGTATAGCAAATCAAAAAGCAACCAATAAGATAGAAAATTCGTAAGTCCTCCTAAGTGAAAACTCTAGGTAAGAATTTCCCTAAACAAATGGGTAAATACTTGATGAAACATTTGAGAAACCAATGTCCATGTAAAATCCCAAAAGGAATTCAAGGATTATAAGAAAAAGCGGAGTTAATGAAGTAAAATGGTAAAAAGGAAGTGAGTTTTGCTATTTAAGACTACAAAGTTGCTGCTAGTTCAGATTTTTAGAGTTAAATATACTTGATGGATTTTGTAAAGAATAAATTACCTATTTACTTAATTAATAGTCGAATGATTGAAGATCCTACCAAACTTTATTAATTTATTCATAATACCTATGTTGGAATATGCAATCCAACAAAATGGTTAGGAAACTATCAAACCGAATCAAATGTGTGATTTATTAAGGCTGTTAAGATTATTAAATATCTTTAAATTTTTTTCTATCCCTTAAAATATTTAATTAATATTTACTATTTATTATATATAATTTATAAATAATTAATATATATATAAATATATAAATATTAATTGAGAAAATGAATTAATAAGATGAAGATCCTAAATATTAGTAGCCTCATGAATAAAGAATAAATTCTTATATGAAAAAACCTGTAAAACTAAGTTAATTAGATCCAGAGATAATGAAAACATATTCAGAATAGATTGGATAGAATCCTTAACCTGCGATGCCAAAATTATCATGGTAAATCATAATATGAAATTGAGGATAGGTGGCAATAATTTATGCTGAGACCTGACATAAGAAAGAAGTATAATTAATATAGGAGATTTTCAAAGGAAACATTACCAATGTTAGTATTTGTAGTGTTTTCAACAGGAGTATTAATTAAGATGGAAGGATAATATGATAAGATGAAATAAAAAGTATAAAATTCAAAGACTTTGAAAGAGATAGAGATAGAATAAGAGGATGCTGTAATATAATTATATATTTAGTATATCAGGGCAGCATTGGAAGGAAAGAAAATTAATTTAGATGTAACAATTTAAGAACCAAGAAAAGAATAAAGGTATAAATTTGAAGATGATGATGATGATCAAAATCTACCTGGATTTGATACTTAGGATGATTTTTATGAAGGATTAGCTAAAGAAGCAAAATAGGGAGCCAACATTCCCGAAGAATATTAACAATAATATTTGGAATATTAGGTAAGAAAGAAATAAGGAGATGAATAATAAAAATCTAAATTTGATTTATGAGTATTATATTTTTTATTAATAATCAATATGAACAGTTGGATAATAAAAGAATTAATTAAGAGTAGTTAATAGATAGATAAATTTATAATTATATATTTTTTTATATTTATGTGTAAAAACAGCTCATTTGTTTTTCTTTCCTCCTTTTTATTTTTTATTTGGTGAATCAACCTTAACCCAACCATCATCCCTAAGAATATAATTATTAATAATTACTCTCCATCATCTTATTCTTCTTATTTTTATTATTTAGGGTTAGTGTTTTTACCTTTTGATCTAGAGAGTATATATATAAATAAAATACCCTTTAGATTATTTGAGAGCTTAAGCAGCTTCTTCAGCAGCTTTAGCAGCAAGTTCTGCAGCAATTCTAGCTTCTTCAGCAGCTTTAGCAGCAGCAGCAGCTTTTGCTTCAGCTTATTTTTAGGCTTCTGCTTGTTGTTATTCTTTCAATAAATTGGCTTTTTTATTTTATCTTGGATCATAAACTTCCTCCCATCCTTCATCATCATCTTCAACAGGTTATGGTTTTGATTTTTCTTAAGTCTATTTTCCTTTTTCTTTAGTTTATTATTTTGTATTCTTTTATTATTATTGTTATTATTATTGTTATTATTATTATTATTATTATTGTTATTATTATTACTGTTATTATTTATTATTTTTTTTGTTTTATTAAGGATTAACATTAGATTATTATTATTATTATTATTGTTATTTGGAATTATTTTTAGATTCCTAAACTTTTTTTTTTTCTCCTTCACTTTCTGATGGAGAAGAAGCTCTTTCTGGTGATTTTTTATCAGGAGATTCAGAAGATGGTGATCTTTATTATTATTTTAATTCTTTAGCTTCAATTTATTTTAATCGTTTCTTTTCTTCTCTTAATAATCTTCTTCTTTCATATAATTCATCTTTAGTTAATTCTTCAGCATCATTAGAATTAGTTTAATTAAATGGTAATTTGTCCCATCCTAATAAGATACTTGAATAGAGAAATGAAATACACAATAGATCCTAAGGATAGAACATATCCAATGCATGTTTCAAAAGGTCGTTAAGCAACTTTGAGTGTACCCAATCCTACTCTAAATATAGATATTAAAACTCTTACGCAAAAGCTGCAACAAGTCCATATTGAATTTACTTGGATAATTATGGCATGTATAATTAATAATTAATAAAATGACAAGTGTATTAATTAATTTAAATGGTGTAATTAATTATATTGTTATATTAATCAATCTGTTAACTCATCTGAATCATTAAAAATAAGTCCATTTTCATGATAATCATTATCTTATAAAGCTTTAGCATCTTAAAATGTTCTCTAAAGAATAGTATGAGATAAGACTCCAATTCTGAGATCCATTTATTTAATCTCTAACTAATAAAGGAATACATATATATATATAGAATACTCTAAGTTTAGTTAACGATGCCTTGATTTTAATAACAGGAGATTAATCAGTTGAAATACTACCATGTTCATTTAATTTTGATTATACATTATCATATTTCTCTGAAACTAATTTATATTGATCACCCATTTCTTTGATTGCATTTGTATAATTTTAACATTGCAATTCAATCTTCTTTACTTCTTCATTCTTCTTCTTATATTAATTACCCTAAAAAAGATAGGAATATAATAAATAACAATATCAAGCATATTTTCATTAATATTGTATTCTCTCTTATTAATTCTATCTAAAACTTAAGATAATTCATCAGTTAATCTTTCCAATTTAATTCTAGTTTCCGGTAATATAGTTTTAATTTGAGATGAATATTATTTAGTTGCATCAAAATGTTATCTCCATTCTGTAGCATTAGGTTTGATAACTATTTTCATCTTCTAAGCAGCCCTCTCCACTTCTTTAGCCCATTCTTAAGGATTCACGTTAGATTCTATTACCATTCTATCCTCACTTAATAATTAATTCTACATTCATACTCTTTTTAAAATCCCTATTCATTAAATACATCTTCCGGTTCCTCATCTGATGCTACTTCTGGATCTGAATCTGATGATACACTACCTGTCTCTTAGACTTCTTCCTCCTCTTATCTTATATATCTATACTATATTTATACGTCTATGATTATTATTCTATTCTTGTCTTCTTAAATTAAAACTTCTTTTTCTATAATGCTCTACTAGCCAATTACTATAACACATAAACAACATATTCTCCAAAACCTTATTTCAATTTTAATGGAGGAAAATCGACTTCAATTCCTATATTTTTTACTTCGTTTACTATTCCTTATACACAATCTATACTTATATTCTAAGATAATGTTACTGGATCATCCAATTTATTAAAATCACTTGTTTATACATCATTCTATTAAAACAACCATTTCACCAACCTAATTTACAATTCACTCTATCTACATTTTCATTTATCCAAATTATTCACTAGAATTTGTCTAATTCACAAAATATCCTCTATTCAACATTTTCCCACCTCTACTCATTCACTTTATATTAATATACTTCTATTTCACATAACTTTATTCATAATTCAATAGAATTAACTTTTCATACAAATCCTCCATCATTGCTGTTACATCCAATTATTCCTTAATCAATTTACATCAACTCTTACTTAACCTACCTATTACTACTACTCAGACATTTTATTATAATATTTAATATCCCAATATACAAATATACATTTATATTTAATCTCTCTTTCACACCTACCAATTATGAAGCATTATCTTTTATAAAGATAATAAAGCCTATTCTTTTATCTATTAATCATCATTTCGAGCCTATCTCATTATCTCTTATTTTGCATTCAATTATTCTAACACTCTACATTTACATCTTTTATTTACACTTTCCCAAATGGATGAAATCTACAAAACTCTCCCAAATCATAACAAGCTATTGCTACATTCTAATTATTATTTGATTTTAAAATCTCTGACAATTTCCTATCATCTTTAACATTTATTTATACCTAATTAATAAAAAATCATTTTCTTCAAACTTTTTCACATTCTCCTTCCAAAACTTCTCTGTATGAACTGGACTCCAACAAAAATTTTAAGCATTCAATTCTTTTATATATTTCTCAAAAGAACTACACTCATTCTATTTAATTACGTTAATATTTTCATATTCTTCTCCAATATCTCACCAATATATTTTATATCATCTATTAAATCTTAATCTTTTAAATTTCCCTTCAAAAGTAAATCTACTACTTTTATCAATCCATTATCCACCATCAATTCTATACATTATGCAGAATTGTCTACTAAATTTCTAAAACAAGCAAATGACACTCTTAAAATCTTCTCTCTAGATATCTTTTAAACTGATTCTATTACTAATCTGATCAACCCTATTGCTGGATCACTAAATATTTGAATTGATTCATTTGTAAAACTCAATAACCATAAACCTAAAATTGAATAGTATGCAATCTGTAAATCTGTAGAATTTTTGGTTAACAAATTAGAAATTCTAAATGAACAAATATAATTACATCTTAATGCCACCACTCTTAATAAATTAAATAGCAAGAGCTTCATGTTTAAGGAAGTGAACACAAATTGGCATGATCATGAAACTTGCAATTTTCCGTTTATTATCTAGAAAAGTAGTATAGTCAAATACCTATTCCTGCTAAAAACTAAGTCACCCATTCCTTGGCATCATTTCCTCCTTCCTCTGCGATTATCATAGTGATAATTTTAGCAGCAGCTTCATAAACCATAGGATCATATCCATCCAAGAATAAAAATTACTTTAACTTTGGTAATACTTAAGGATTCAAAGCTCTCATAAATTACTTAAATAACCTTTGATTATCTATTTAATTATATATGTAACATATTACCTGATATTATTGCCTCAATAGTTGTAAGAATGTAAGTCATTAAAGGTTTATCATGGATGAGATTCTCTAAGATATCGAAAAGCATAGAAAAAACACCGACTGATTCTGTTTCTAAAAATTATTTTTGTTCTAATAACTAAAAGGTATGATTTTGATGAATTCTACTTTAGCTTAAGTAAATCTAATGAACATATTTTTGGTTTCATCCTTAATTGATCTACCATGTTATTCTAAACGCTTGAAACATTCTTCACAATCCTTTATGACTTTGCTTAGATATTATTCTCTTTAAAAAAAAGTAATAGATTGGCAAAAATATCTCCTTTATCTAAACATATTAATTTATTTTATAAATATTCAAAATGATCCATTTGGCAAATATATGGATTAGGCTTAATTGATATGTCCAGGTCTTTAATATGGCTAAGTGTATATAGAGTTTTAAATATTAAATTAATGACTCTATCTCATTTAATATTTAGAATAGAAATCAACATTGTTATTAATTTCATTTTCAAAATGAGATAACACTTCGTTTAAATCAGTGAATCTTGGTCTGATTGCAACTTCAGAGATCATCTAATAAATTAAGTTAGTAAAAAGGGTAGAGTATCCTCTTTACAATAATAGATCATTTGCTTTAATGATTTTATCTATATGAACCTCTTTACTAACCCAATCATAATATTATTCACATGAACTTAGACTGGCTAATTCTAAAAGAACTAATCCTAAAGCAAAAACATCACCCTTAATAAAATCAACATTAGGTGATGAATTCTTAGCTCTTACTTCTTTCAATAATTCTGGAGATAAATATTAAAAATCATTTAAAAGTAATGCTTTCTAATATCCATTCATACTTCCATAAATAAAATTATATTCCTATATTTATATTTGATTTATATACAATCAGTTTTACACTTTAATCTGGATGCAAATATATATTTTTAGATTTAATTTCTCCATGATTTCTTCCATTCTTTTCTAGATAAGTACAAGCATTCACAATTTAAAAAACTATTTACCATAATCTAGTTTCTGAAAATTATTAGGAAGTATTAGAATAATTTTTAGATAGGTAATTTTTCATTTCATTTTAAATGTTATTATAAAAATGTTCACCTATTATGATAAATTATGTTTGATCTTAACAGAGTATTTAATTATGCTGTTCAGAAATAAAAAAGATTTATGTAAGATAATCATTATTGTAACTTTTTCTATTTTTATAATGTGCTAACATGAGTTTGGCTTCCTCTGAGGTTGTAGCTGTCTTATGAAATTCAAATATAGAATATTTCTATTCAATTGTTGATTAATTTACATTATCATCTTTTAAAGTATAGACTCTAACCATTCCAAGTTAAGAATGTTGAAGAGACTCTTTAAATTTGAATTTTTTCATTACATTTTCGTACTTCTCTTCTTACAATTTTAAATTTGAATTACCCATAAATATTTATATATTATTTTATTTATACTCAGATAATTCTAAGATTAACGACAACCCAAGAAGAATCTAAGAGTTACACATTGATTAATGATTCATCATTAATAAATTATAGATGTTAAGAAATTGGAGAATTAAGAAAATTGTACAATTCAGTTTTGTCTTTTGGTAACATCTAAAATAAATAGATAACTTTTGCTCCTTTTTAAATGCTAATAATTTATGACTTAAATAGATTTTCCAATTTTTTTAAAATAGAGGACAAAGGCTCTAAAGATTTATTAATTTCTAATTAAAATTTAGACCAGATAGTGATTTCCATACCATTTTGTAATTTTTTCTAAAATAAATAATAATAATACCTTTTTAACCTCTCCAGGTTCACTTTATGTAAGTGATGGAATAGCTAAATTCATAAAAGTATTTTTAGGTTGATTTCCTTTTAATAATATTTTTATTAATTCTATAGTCTATAAACCTGCAATACAAGATGTAGTAGTTGACATAGCTGGTATGATCTAAAATATATTAACATAATAATACTCTGCCTGCTTTTAATTTGGTCCACATCCAATCTACTTATTAGATTCCATAATTAAGTGCTCTTCCATTTGTAGCTTAAGTTATAAATGATACATGATGATTTAAATCATCGTCTTTCTCAAATTATTAAGGTTATGGTAAACTAGGTTTAATTTTATCTAATAAACTTCTTGCCTCACAATATAATTGATCATAATCCTAAATTTCCTCTTATTATTCTATTTAATTCTTTGATTATTTTATTTCTAAATCTTTTTTCTTATTATTCTTCTTCTCTTATTATTAATTTAATAATTTAGTATCTATTTTACTCATATCATATTCTTATGGTATCTTTATACCATAGATTTAAGCTGTAAGAATAGCATAATATTCTACAAATTTTAATGCTACTGATTCATTAAAACCAATAATTTTCGGTATTCTCTTTGGTGGTGACCAAAATAATTTACCTTCTTTTGTTAAAGAATCCAAAGGATAAGTATTAATTAAAGCTTATATATCAAGTATGAATAATTTCTAAAATTTCTATACTCCTAATTCAAGGCATTCTTAAAATGATCTTGGATATTTCTTTAAAATTCTTAATGCTAAATCTATACTCTATTTTTATGGAGTAGCTTCCTACATCAATTATAATAAAGCTGCTGGTTTACGATAGAAATATTATTCAAATTTATCTCTTGCCCATTCTAAACAATGTAAATTTGTTTCCGGAAACATCTTTAAAGTACAATAAGGAATATCATTATTTTATTCTGGATCTTATTAACTTGCATAACTTTCAGTTTATTTAGGAATTATCGTTTATACATGCCCTTTTGTCCCTAATGTTCCACTTTCAATTAAACAAATATCATTCTCAATACATTTTGAATCCACATATAATCTTGCTTATACATTATCCAAAGCATTGGTAACACAATTCATTTATTTATAAAATTCATTATGATATATTTCTTAACTCTCTTAACATACTTTATCTAATCTGGCTACAATTCTAATATCTGGATTCATCTATTTCACCACTGCTGCAGCTGTCAAACTTTTAGGTTTTCTGATATGTTTCTCTCTAAACAAGAATTATCTACTAAGATTAGAATTCTCAATCACATCTGGATCAGTTACATAAATACTACCATTCTTACCAATACCCAAAAGTGCATAATTTTTTAATAATTCACAACCTATTGCACCAGCACCAATTACAAAAACATTTGATTTATACAAATTTTCTATACTTCCTACAGTATTTATTAAATCCTGATATCTAGAATTCACATTCTTATTTATTCCATATTTTTATAAAAACTATTGATATTCTTTTTCTAAATTGTTCAATTCCTTTAAATTAAAAGGTAATAAATCATCAAATGACTACACATAAACTTAATGTATTGGTGTATATTTTTTATTTATAGCTTTCAGAGCCTCTTAAGCTGCCATTCCTCCAATAAATGCACATAATGGTTGCAATAAAGTATTAATTGATAATAATACTAACAGAGGCATTAATTCATCTTTATATTTATTAAAGACATCTTCATTATATTATTCATTAAGTCTTTGATCTAAATGACAAGATTATATATTATTAATAAACAATTTTATCTTATCTAAATTCCAATCATTATTTAATTATTCTGTATGATTTAAACAAAAATGTATTAAATTACGTTTAATCTCACCTAATTTATCTAACATTTCCATATTCTCACAGAAATTAGAAAATTAATTTAAAACATTTTAAATTCTTTAGAATGACAATCTAACTATTTATTTTTATTAATAAGCAACACCATGACTTTTATAAGAGCAGAATATTTTATCAGTAATCAATTCAAATGAATTTCTTTTAACATTTTTTATTTGAAATTTTTAATTGTATGATTCATTTTATCCTTCAAATTGTCTAACTTCTTAAATTAAAACAAAATCATTTTCATTTAAATTATGATTTTAATTCTAAAATAAAGTAACTAAATTATTTTGAATATCATTAATCATTAATTCTGATAATTGTTCTCCATCTTTATCAACAATATTAAATTCATTACCAAAATCTGTTACAATTCTTGCAAATATATTTCTTGTTTATGCCAATATAACTGCTACTTTATTTTAATTAGATATTTCAGATGCTAATTTAGGATCTTATGTAATGAATACTTAAATTTCATTCAAATTGATTTCTTGAATATTATTTTAAAAGATCTCAATTCTTACATATGGATTCAAATATTTTAATTTATTAAGTACTCTTTCATCTCTACGATAATTAATATCTTCTTGACTTAAATAAAAATTAGTTCCTAAATCAGATAATTAAACTTAAATAGGATCATATATAATAAGTTTCTTAACACCAGATAAAACAATATTCTTAGCAATTTCAATACCTAATCCATTAAGACCATGTATAAAAACTGTTGACTCACTTTGTTTTTTTACTGCATCCAAACCTACTACTCCAATATATCTACTCATTAAATTCTATAAGTTTTAATCATTTGAATCAAATTATCTTTATTATAAATTATCCTCATATGTAATATCTATATCATTCAAGTTTAATCCTTAAGGCATTTACATATTATTTAATTCTTGTTATTCTACTTATCTAACATAATTTTAATTAATTGTAATTGATTTTTTATTTTCATTTTAAATAGTTTAAAAATCTCTACCAATATTAAATTTCAATTTTTCTAATTCTACTTTCAATTTTTCATAAACCTTAATTAATTCTTACTTATAAACACCAGGAGCTGTACCATAATTACATTGATTTTATGTTTTTTAATAAGTAGCAGGTAGATCTGCTTACTCAATCCATTATTCTATTTCATTTTTAATCAAATCCTTCCTCAAATAAAAACTCTTATAAATAACTTCTTCAAATCCCTTAGGAGGTGTTTATAATTATTCAATCATTGCATATCTAATATTCTATACTCTAACAAAATTACAATAGCCTCTGTTAGACTATTCTCCATCTGTAGTACCCATTAAAGATTCCCATCCTGGTTCATTAAACAATACATTCTCCCACATAACCATTGATTATATGGATATTAAAATTTATAAAATAGTCGAAAAATTAACTATCCAACTATCTCCCCATGTTCCCAATAAACTCAAACATACCTTTCCACAATGATACAAATTTGGATTGAATCTAACCTTCCCATGTCCAGTTGTAGATAGTTTCATCTTCGGTGGTCTATTTGGATAATCTTCCCCAAAATACATTTCATATAAAAATGCTCCATGTGCATATGGTGTACCAATTGATCCAAAAATTATTGTTCTCATACAATCCATTCTATCCTTATCATATCTCAAAAATATAGAATTAGTTGCTTCCATTGGAAGATTCTCCTCTAAATTCGAAATTTCTTATATCAATTTCTACATTTTTACTTAATTTGGATTATTTGTATTTTAATAATACTCTTTCATTACATTCAAATATATTGGATCATTTTATATCTCACATTTATCAACTGCCAATTTTTTCATAAATGGATTATAAAATTAATGCATACTGATTTATTCATCGTTCTAATTTTAACAGTCTTTATTTATATACGTTATAGTAATCATTTTTGCTGCATATAAACATGTCTCAACATAATTATATACTTCCATAAACTTATTTATTTCATCTATCTTAGAATTAAATGTTTTTATAAACATGATTGCCTATTAATAAAAATTTTCCAATTATTTAAACAAACTTTATTAATCATTAATTAAAAACAATTCTAAAGTATTTGATGATTAAGCCAAAATTTCAATTATTCTTAATATTTCAATAAAAACTTTGGAATTTTAAATTGAAGTTATATTTATATTTTAAAAGTACTTTATTAAGAAATTTAAAATTAATGTTTCTTAAAAACATGAAACAACTTTGGGATTCTTATAATTTTAATCAATCAAGATTCGTAAACATCTAAGCAAAGTTTCTAGATTAATCTCTTACTAATTTTATTAAATCTCAATTTATCTTTTAGTAACATCTGAATTTTAATTACTTGAAAATGCAAATTTTTAATAATTACTATCCCCATATCCAACACCTTTAGGTTTACCCTTTGAAATTTCCTAATGTTTTGGATTAACGATTTTATTCAGTTCAAAATTGATTTAGAATTATGGTTATGGTTTACGATTTAATAAATTTAAATAAGAGTCTATTCTATTAATTATGCTAATTTAAATTCTGGATTTCATCAATGCTTAATTTTTCAAATTAGGAGTCTAATCCAACAAATTTGACATTGATTAATACATAAATTGAATGACTTTATTGTAAGCTTCTTTACCTTCCTTTTAATTTCTTAAGAATGCTACAACAAGTAGTAATTATAAAAAACCATCAGTTTAAAGGATGAATTATGAGAAACCACAAATTTCAGATAGACAATCTAATTCAATAAATAATTGCTTATAAACTTAATCTGCTTTAACAATATACAAATGCTTATTGATTTATTCCATGATTTTATTAATACCACCTATGTATGTTTAAAAATAATCTAAGAGAGGCTTTTAAGATTGTTTTTTGAATTTCAATTGTTGAATAGGTTAAATGACAAGAATGTCATTAATTTAATTTTCCTTAAGTAATGAGAAGTTAATCTTTTCATCTAATTAAGTTGAAAATTCTGAATCAGTCAAATAATGTGGAATTAAATGAATAGGTTAGAATCTAAATTATGAAAGATAATAATTTAATTATTAAGTATAACTTTTATTTTAAAGTATTTCTGAGATTTCAGTTGTTTAAATGAGATCTTTAGTTTCATCAAAAGTCCAGATTTCAATTTAAATCAAATCACAATCTTATCCAACCATAGCAGAATTAATTTAATCAATAATTAATGTTTTTTACTATATCTTTTCAAATGGGAATCCAAATTTACAAGATTAAAAATCTAGAAAATTAATACATGCAATAGGACGATTGTAATGACTAATTTATAACATATTTTATTAAATATCCAAGATTACATGATGTTTTTTATCTAATGAATTAACATACCAAAAGTAATCATCTTAAACCATCATAACGTAAAAAGATTAACTATTTGATCTAGCTTAAATATAATTATGTTATTTCTTATCTGAAATGATATTATTAATAAAACATGCTAATCTTACATTTTCATCACCTGCCATTAAATCAAAAATAAATAAAACATTATTTCTATCATCTAAAATTTCTAATAAAATCTAAGAACCAAAATGAGGATTTAAAGGATTAAATTTATGTAATTGGACCCATGATCCTTTCAATATAGATTAATTATCATTTTATTATAATTATTATTAACTCTAATCCTAAGTAATGATTTGTGGTATTACTGATTTTAAATGATCTTGAACAATCTTATTAAGTTATTCACATTATTTCTTAGTTAATATATCAGTAATTAAACTAGATTAAGATAAAAATATTCTTTTATGAGCAAGTAGAGAATTCTCCACTTAAATTTTACATTCTTATATACTTTATCTAGGATGAAAACAAACAGGTATTAATCTTACTTATTCACTATTAAGTATTGGAAGTATAACTCTATAAATAAAATCGAATTTCTATTTTTCCAAAAGAAATATAAAATCATCACATAATGTTTCAAGTAAAATCTTATCCACTTTATCTATACTCATAATTCTTACAATTAAATTAACCATAGCATCAATTATTAAAGGTTCTTTAGACCATTAAGGAGGATTAAAAGTTCCAAATAAAGTTTATGAAAATCTTATAGAATTGTATAGGGTTCTTTGAAAATTATTACTAAACAATGTATTGAGAATAGTTTAATTTGTTGTAAAGGCAAGAAAGAATTAAAGTAAATTAATCAATTAATGATTTAAATACTATGAATTCTTTTAATCAAGTAAACTAATAATATTTACATCATTAAATACCTTTCAAAAATAGAAGATAATGTTACTATGATTTCTTTATAGAGAGAAATATTTAATGTTTATTCTGAAAAGTATGATAATGCCAAAATATCTAATTTTAAAGGCTTCTCAAATGATGTATCAAATAATCCATCATTTATTTTATTTACTATTAATGTTTAAAGTGTTCTTGAAGATATCAAAGGAACAAAAGGTTAAGGAGGATTTATTGCAAACATCAAAAATCTAAGTAAGTTGGGCCGAATCTTTTAAAATTTATCTTCTTCTTCTTTTTAAATTGATTCCTCCTTAAGTATCAATCCCAATAACTACTTTACTAATTATTAATCACTTTTTATTAGATATCCTATTTTATGACCTTAACTTCCTAAATGTTAAAATATTTATTATGAAAATTCAGAATATTAACCTATTTCTTAAATCTAAAACACCAATTTCAAAATTCTACATAATTAATCCAAAAATTCACTTTTATTTTCTATTTATAATACTTATTGTTACCTTATGATCCTAAAGATACTAATTCAAACATGTTTGCACAATTATTGAATAATTTTGCTAATCTCTAATAAAAATTAGAAATATCTGAAAGTATAGTAACTTCTATTTGAGGGAAATTGAACTCCTATAATAATTGTAAAAAGTATGGATCATCGATTTTATTGGTATCTACTATTTAAATATATTATTATGTTTAAGTAGCTTATATAATCAATTTAAATATTACTTTCTTTCACATTAAATACAATATTTTCTATATCTTCTTATTCTTCTTCATTTTGTTTTTCATCACAATATATATAATCTTCAAAATCTTCATATTCTTCTTAAGACATTTTTTAATATGTTATAATTTATAATAAATCAATCTCATTTTAACATTATTTAAGATCATTTAAGAAAAATATTCAGAGAAACTCTATTTAATTAATCACTAAGATTTTACTAATTTTTTTCTATTAGATTAAATTCAATAATAAAAAAAATATATATGATTGAAGTTTCCCATAAAAGCTTTCAATTTCAATAGGGTTTGTTCAATCGATTAAGGTTTAAAATAAAAAATGTAAGTAATGTACCTATTACATTCAAAATCAGATGCAATAATAACACTAATTATAAATTAGACCATTATATTGGACTCATTAACAGTCATTAAGATTTTGATAATTGCATTCAAAATAATGAAGCTGCAGTAATCTTAAATTTAAATTAAATTAGGATATTAAATTATTAGGTGATTAATTAGAAATTCAATATGCAGAGTATTCAGATCCCTAATAAGATTTAAAAGATTTTTGGAAATCTAGAAAAAGCTTAGATCATGTCATCATTACAATTGAAGTTTTGGATGTCTAATAACAATAGAAAGAAACCATACTTGCAGAACTATTAATTAAATCACAATCATTATAAAAAGAGTTATTATCTCTTAAAAAATAATATGAATTAGCTTAGAAATCTGCTGTTGATATCAATTACTTTAATTAATTCTAAGATGGATTTACTGTTGGTTAATTGATGATCATTATTGTCATATGCTTGTTCTGTGGTGGAATTTTTAGATGAATTTAAATATTTTTTATTTAAATACACAAATGTTATAATTCTTCACAAGTCTTATTAATCATTATAACCTAAAGAGAAAATATTTTGCGTTATGAAGATTGATATGTCTGAATAGAAATTTCTATAAAACAATCTTCTAAGCACAATAAATCCAACTACCATAAGGAAAAAGAAAAACGATCCATAAACTATAACGATATTAAACTTATGTTAGTCAGCTAATCCATTCAGAAAGAATCCACTTTTCTATAAGTTTGATTTCTATCCGGAATATATCTAATTAGTCTTTTAAAATTGTTAACTTGTATTGACTATAAAAATATAGATTTTCATTCTTACAAATAGGACTAGCTACAGAATTGATTTAATCTTCTGCTTATGCTAACATATTTCTTGTTTCAATAAAATGATGTGTTAATTCTGTGCTATTATTCTTTTTCATCTTTTATTTATTATTTTATTAAAATTATATATTGGAAAACAAAAAAAATTTCAAAATAATTATCCAACTTATTTATTAATAAAGGTTTGTAAATTATATGCATTATATTAATAAATTGGTTATTTGCTTAGTTAATTGACTAATTTTTCTATTCCTCTTAATATTATTATAAAGTTTATCATTTTTTTAATAGAAACTTTTCCTAATTTTCAATCAAAGTATCATCATTTATTTTAAAGGCCAATTTATAATTATTTTTTGTTTAATTCAGTTTAAAATGAAAATGATTCTATTTTTGATTATTCCTTAAAAGATTAAATTCTAAAAATATTGTAGAAATTCTTTTTAAAAAATTCATCAAATTAATTTTGTGGTAATAATTTAATTTTTTGACGAGTTATTTCAGTCTAAGCTTTATTTTAAAATATTTTCAAAGTATGAATATTGTTATTTACGCTTTTTGACACTTTCTTTGAGAGTTAATTTGTTAATATTCAATTAATATACTTCAAATTGTTGTAATTTGCATTCTTACTAATGAAATTATTTGTATATCAAAATAAAAGTTAATGACATTTACATAAGAGAAAATACTATACCATAATTATGTAATCTAAAAAACTTCTTTATTTGTTTCAGTAGGTCTTCGAATAGTGTTTCAGACAACTTTTCAAATAAATATTTTTATTCTCCTTGTAACCATATTTAATCATTACATCTTCAACAGGTTCATCAAATTCCATCAAAATTGATCAGTTTTATTATATGCTTTCTATTCTATCAAAATATTTAAGTGCATGATATTTCGAATTATAAATTGTTACTTTTATACTTTTAATTTTACGAAATTTATTAAATATTAATTTATTTTAATTAACAAGATTTTTCCATTTCATTGAATATAAAGGCAACCAATGTGCAGTTTTTATTATGTCTGTTAATTTATATAATTTTTATAGTAAAATATTTAAATAGAGTTTTATAATGAGACTTTAATTCTGATCAACATTCAACATAAACAAGATTTAAGAAAATTGAATTAATTTTTTTATATATAAAAAATTTATAATAAAAATAATGTATTTATTTAAAGAATCACCAAGTTCTTTCATCTTCATTTAATTATTCCATAGTAAAATATCTATCTGAAATTTGAGATATTTCATTAAACTATGGTAGATAAATAAGTGTATCATATTTTTTAAATTTTAAATCCTCCCAAGATATATCATGAAACCATGGATGATTTTAAAGTTCCTTAAAATCCATAAGAAATCCTAATCTTTATGTACTATCATGTTTAGTCAATTTTTATATAATATCTTTGCATTATGAAGAGCAAACTATATTTTTAGGGAAATGAATATCCCCTTTGAGAATGAGTTTTAATGCAATTTCAAAACTATTATGATAAAAAGGAGTAATGCCTACTAATAATTCATAAATAAGAATTCCTAAACTATACCAATCAGACATTCTAGTAAGTTCTCCATTTTTAATATATTCTGGAGATGAATATTCAGTAGTAAAATTAATTGCTTATGTTTTTTTATATTCTTAATAGATTCTCAATTTTCCATATCCAAAATCAGTTAAACAAACATAACCTCTTTCGTCTATCAAAATATTCTCAGGCTTCAAATCTCCAAAAATAATACCTCTCTCATGCAGATCAGACAATGCTATAGCTACTTATGCTACTATTTATTTTACTTATTATTCTGGAAAATTATTAATATCCTTTAAATGTTAATAAAGGTCTCCTCCTTTTATGAATTTAAAAATAAAATTTACATTACCATTATATAATAAACACAGCTCAAGTTCCTCAATAAAAGGTAACTTCTCATAATTCTTTAGAAAGAGCTCCAATAAATCAATATCTACTTAATTTATTGGAACATATTTTAATATTGAAAATTATTACTATTTCTCATATTTATTATGTAATAAATAGATTTTACTTAAGGATCCCTAAGCCAATACTACTGATTTCTAATACTCATCTAATTTAACACGTAATCTTAATGGATCATTAACATATAATACTAATAGTTCATTTTATGTTCCTTTTATTTTATTCATCATATTTATATAATTTAATTGAAAATTCTCAGGATGCAATATATTAATTTAACATTTTGGATGCAAACCAATTTATTTAGATTTATCAGGTGTTTAATGATGCATACAATATGGTTATAAGACATCATCATCTAGAAAATAAATTTAAAGGCCCTCTATATTCTACATTTTTAATGCAATTGCTAAGTAAAATATTATTACATCTCTATTCTCTTATGATTTATACAATAAATCAGATTCTGAAGGTACATGAATTATAAACTCTAAACTTTTTTTAGATATTGTGACTCCAAATATTTTATTGATTGCGATCTTTCTCTTTATATTCTTTTTATCTATGTTATACAAAAATTCATTAGAAATTGCTATCATTCTTAATTATTCATTATTTCTCTTATTGATTTTTGTAATCATTCGAGATATCAATAAAATTTCTAAGGATGAGCATTATTTCTTAAAATACTTCTCTGCATCCAAATGATAAACATCATTTGTACCAATTTTCATTTATTTGAGAAAATTAAATATCCTATGTTCCTAATTCATTCAATATATTATTCAAACAAATTATTATTTTTATACAAATAATAGCACAATTTTCATAAACATTATTATACATACCTTATTTGAAAAATGATAAAGTTGCTAGTAGTTATACTTATTCTCTCTTTACATGTTTCTTTAAATGAATCACTCTCAATTCCTAGTTTGAATCATTAAGTTCAAATGAATTAAAAGCCAAAAAAAAAGCCCGCCATAGAATGGAGAAATACTTCTGAATTTGAAAATAATCCAACTTATGATAAAGTCTTGGAACTTGCCAAAAAAAACTATTAAGCTGAATGTTAAATGAATAAGAGTATTACCTTTTCTAAAGTGCTCTAAGTTGCCAAATAAATTTAACAAGGAATGCTTTGGTCTGTAATAATAATTATTATATCTTTCATTAGCTTTAAGTGGAATTCTCAGATAAATCCATTAAAATTATTTAGATCTTTGAAGACTTAGATGGAGTCTTAGAATTTGATTCATGCAAAGATAATAAATGAAACATTTTCATATAATTTAAAATCAAATAATTGTAACCATTATAATTTTATCTCATTATGCTACTTTAGAGTTGCAATACCAAATTCAATACCTAATTTTTTTGTTTTAATAGTAAAAACTGTATTATTTGATAAGATTTAATCTATAAAACGGTATATTTTTGATTAATATATATATTATATAAACCAGTATAATAAAAATAAATAAATGAATAAAACAATATTAGTATTAATAGCAATAATTCTCCTTACATAAGGAAAAAGACACTATATAGAAAATAAGATAAATAAAAAACAAGAATTACTTGGAGGTATTAGATGGGATACTCCAGAGAATTTTAAAAATGATGAAGATTATCAAAAAGCTGTAAGAACAGCAAGAAATGAATTTCATCAAGTTTGTCATTTATAAAATAATGTTATTTGGATAAGAGTTGATAAAGTTGGTTTTTAGATTGTAGAAGGTATAATGTGGTGGGTATGATATGAAATTAATTTAGTTAGAAGTTTAATTGAGTAGTATTAAAGTTTAAGAGATGAAAGTATTGTAAGAATTAGAAGGAACTTTTAAATTAGTTGGATGCACTTAATGACTAAATTATTCATATGTATTTAATTTGTTATATGATAAATAAATTAATCGTTAAAATAAAAAAATGTAAAGATTTTGGTTGGAGTAACCTTAAAGAACTTTGGATATCAATTTTGATATTAAATCAATTAGAAATTAAGTTAAAGATAGATGTGTACCAGTTTTATAATATTAAACTGACTCTGCGTCAAAATTATTCAATTCATATAGGTAATATGATGAAAATATTTTAGAAAAGAAAGCATGTCTACTGTCCCTTCTTTTGAAAATTTATAATCTAAAATTAGAGACTTCTCATATACTAGATTAAACTCTACTTAATCTTTTTAATAAAAAAATTAGATTCCTGATAAATATATTGCTTACTCTCCATAAATGGCAGTGGGGTTATAAAAGAAGTAAATTTAAAATTTAAAATACAAGAATAAATAGTTCTTTAGGAAATAGAAACAATGTTAATTTTCAAAGTTCTCGATAACAATCTCCTGCATATTAAAGCAGACCTATTGAATTAAGTTATAGGTCATAACAAAAAAGAAATTTAAGTGATAATTTATAATTGAATGAAATTGTGTCCTTGAGAAACAAAATTGAATCATCCTAAACTAATAGGCGCTTATTAGGAGCAAAGTAATTGTTTCAATTATATAAATATTAGTTATGTGAGTGAATTAGTAAAATTAGCATAGGCCATAACTAATGCACTGAAATGAGATACTTTTAGTTTAAAATTATAATATATAATTACGAATTTATATATATATATTAATTTCATGAAAAACAATCAATATAAAATTAGAGTAACTTTAGATAGTACTCCTTTAACTTATTAAACTACTGAAACCTTTTCTTTATGGGATAACTTATAGAAATCCAAAGAATCTCCAAGAAAATCTAAAATTAAAATAGCAAGAGATCCACTTGAAAATGAGTGTCCTCTTTAATAACCGAACCCATTTTTATTTAATGAATAATTAAAGCATAGTTTTAGGGACTATTTAGAAGGTCATAAAACAGCATTAAATTTAGTAAATGAATGTAATCATATCATAAGTTAATCTTGTAAAATAAATTAGCTTAAATTATTTTCAAAAATACATAAATTTACTAGTAGTTTAAAATAAAGATCTTCTGTTAGATTATCTATGATTAAAAATAATACTTAAGCTGATGATCTTATTTAAAGAAAAATTAAAATTTAAGAAAGGTTTAATAAGATTTAATCTTTAATTTAACAAAGAATGTAAGCAAAAAATAAAAAAGATTCACTTCAAGATTTTCAATTATTTAAACATTTATTTGAAACTTGTGAAAAAAATGTTAATATAATTAAATCTAAAAATTTACTTTCAGAAAAAGGTGATGGTGTAAGAGAATTTGATAAAATTAAATATTCTAAAAATCCATAAGGATCATTGAGAGTTCGTTTAAATACTGAAGACAATAAACTTTTATCAAATAGTTTAAGAAGTAAGACTTTACCGGATTAATAAACAATTCATTTAACAAAAAAGAAGGAAAGAGAGAAAATGAATACAAAATTAAATGAATTTTTAGAATCAGATAGAAATTAAGAAAAAAATCTACTTCTTAAAGCTAAAAGAAATTTAATAAGAGAAATAAAAAATGGTAATAAAAAATTTCATTATTTTGAACCTAATAAATTTAATACTACAGATCCTTTAAGCAAAGATGTAAAATTTTATGCTTATATGTTCATGAAACCTAAAAATGAAAATATCTTATAAAAGAAGGATCCAATTAATAAACTATGTAAAACTGCTAGAGCTTAAAAAGATAATGAGAAACATTATTTAGCTAATTTTAATAAAATGTTATCAAATTCTAGACATGAAAGTTTGGAATAGGATTCTTCATTTAATTCTATGCTTGAAACCAATATCGATAATCTATATAAAAGAAGCACTGATTTGTAAAATATGATTCTGAATACAAAATCTGAAAAATTTGTTAAAAGAATTAGACAATTTTAAAAAGTGCAATCCTTAACCTCTTAAATAATTAAAGTGAATGAATAAAAGTTATCTAATACTAAATTATTATGAAAAGAATATAATAGATGGTAAACAGAGTCTTACAACTAAATATCCTTTCAATAAAAATCAAAATCTAGATTATCCTGATTTTCCCATGGACTAAAATCAATAGTTGGTTCACTTTTCTTAATTTTCATTCTCTAAGATATTCTTCTTCGTTTTATTTGATATAATTTTTGAAACTATTTCTATTTTGCTAAATTAATTGGCATTTCAATTATATTTTCTTTATTGCTCACAATAGTTTTATGTGGAATTGGAGGTTTAATAGGATATTATACTTAAGGTAAATGTTCTTCTTCCATTTCTGTTTTTGTTTCAAATGATTGTCTCCTTAATCTCTATCTTTCTAATTTCATATGAATAATTTTTAATGCATTTTCGCTAGTTTTGCCTAATTACAATCCTTTATAATAATCTTATTTTATTTCACTTGTTTCAGTAATCTATCTTAATCTCTCTACTTTCATGGATGTTGACCTTTGCTCTTTATTATATCCATATACAAAATTGTAAAAACTTTATCGTTTATTTTATTGACAGTTTATCATTTTAATTTATAAATTATAGAATGAATTCTCTTTCTGCTATTAGAATTGTACATTTAAAATATGATTTATAATAATAACAAATAATAAATATCATCTTCTTAAATGATGTTATCACTTTCTAACTTAACAATAGTTATTCTATTTTTTTGAACCAAATATGATCCAAATTAGATTTTATTTAACCATGTTATACACCAAATGCTATTATAATCAAAATAATTAAAAAAAATAGAAATAAAAAACTTATTCTCAATCATTTTCTTGAATCATTCTATTTACTAAGTGTTTCTAAATTTCTACAAATTGATATTGATTCATTCATAAATTTTTAACACAACCTTTCAAGCAATTCAGAATTAGTTATATCAAAAGGAGTCAAAGAAAAATATCTTTGATTATACTACATCCTTAAATCTCTCCAATATTAGATTTGTATTAATTTTTTCTTATTCTACTATATTTATATTAAAACTATTTTTCAACGCATTTATTCTTTCATTCGTAATATTATTATTTGTTAAATCATTTTTAGAGTAAGTAATTATTGATGACATCTTACATAATTATCCAATATATATTATTTAATTAAAATAATGCTCTCAAAATACTTCAAGCAAACATTATTATTGCAATAATTCTTTTAAAATCGCTTAGACTGTTAAATTATTTGAATACTCTATTTTTACCTTAAATAATCAATATGGCAATATCGGTCTCCTCCTTAAAATTTTTTTTTCTATTTATTTAAAATATTAGTATAAAATAATAATTATAGCATGACAAAAGAATTAAGCCATATTCCAATTTACTACGATTTAGATAATCAAAGATCATACATCCATACTCTGAAAATTCACTACAATGTTATCAAAAATTATTAAAAAATTTAAATAAGAATTGTCTTCTAAATCTATGATTAATGTCAGATTCACAAACATATTCGCACTATTTATAATAGTATAAAAATTATATAATACATCAGCATTTATTAATATTA